TGCCCATCCGGTAATTTATTGGCCACAATGTTTTTTCTTAGCGCTAAAAGCATGGTGAACTTTTAGCTTTTAGCTCAGGAGTAAACCTTTAACCTGGCCTAATCTCTCAGCCAGGGATAGCTGAGTTATTTGTTCAGGACAAGAAGATGAGCTAAGGGTTGTTGACCATGATGCTGTCCCACAGAGCAGGGAGCCTGCACTTTTGTGACCGGGCCGCTTCCTCCTGCCAGTCTAGCAGTGTTTTGCAAGACAGGGATTATCAGAGCCACTGTTTTCAGTGCCCCTCCCTTTAGCAGAGAATACAGCCTGGACCTGTAAGTTTTAGGCTCACCTCACCCTAGGGCCTGGCATCCTGGTTTCCTACACATACATAAGTAAAATCTAGCAAATGGTCAGCATTTTCAGCCCTTAGGCCTTGTTCTAGCATCTAAGGTTTACGTCAAGATCTCTCTATAAACAGAGGAAATGTATATACGTGCTAATTTGTTGCAGTGTTGTCTATAACAGCAGATGTCTGGGGACAACAGACTTTCCATCTATAGGTAAAAACAGTTCAATAAACTAGGGTGCAGCAGCATTTGGGTGTCAGATGGGGAAATCGCGTGAGTCAGGACTGTAGGGAAAACTCCGCAGAACATGTTAGGTAGGAAAAGAAAATGGCAGAGACTAAAATAGACAGTGTGCAATTTTTGTGTAAGACTGGGAGATGAAGATGGATTTTTTTTTCAAGAATGTGGGAGGCATGTAGGTGCTGTGAAAAGCCGGAAAGGACAAGGGAATGGACTTACTTCTCTCTCATGGCTCCACAAAGAATGCAGCCCTGAAGAGCTCTAGAGCTGCGGCTGGGATGACGGCTCAGTCAGTGAGGTCCTTGTACATAAGCATGGGGACCTGACTTCAGAGCCACAAGGCCCATGTGAAATTGGGAACCATGGTGCATGCCTGTAACCCAGCACTAGATTTGGAGGTATAGAAATTCAGATATCTGGAGTTGGCTGGCCAGCCGGTCTATCAGAATCAATGAGCTCCAGGTTCAGTGAGAGACCCTGCCTCAAACAAATAAGGTGGGGAACAACTGATAAAACACATGGAGCATGCCTTGAATCCCAGCACTCAGGAGGCAGAGGCAGGCAGATCTCTGTGAGTTCAAGGCCAGCCTGGTCTACACAGTGAGTTCCAGGACAGCTGGGGCTACAGGGAGGCCCTGTCTCAAAAAGATGAAAAAAAATCACAGTGTCAACCTCTGCCCTCCACATAGATGCATGCACATACACACAAGAACACATGTTCACACATACATAACACCAAAAAAAATTAATAAGGGAGAAAATAATTCCAGAAGTGAGAAGTTACCCAGGGTGTGTGGAAATTGTTTAAAGTAACCCAAAGGACTAATGGGGTAGGTGTGGAACCCCCCACATAGGGTCTAGGGATAAAAAAGACAAGAAATGGGGAATCCCATACTGTCCCCCTCAAACACTATGACTCCAGAAGCACACAGAGCTATCATCCATGGCAAGTCTCGAAGCCAAGATCCCCAACAAGGAACCAGGAGCAGGAGAGACGGTCATGAAAGCCTAGGGGCAGCCAAGCCCAAAGGCTCAATAGCACAAGTCCCATCCTCTTCCCCTTCCTCCTCCACAAGGAAGGAAGACTGTGATTGACTTAGAAAAGTATTTTAGAGGAGCTCAGACCAAAGCAGGTTAGGAAGGAAGTTGGGGTGCCTATGGACACCATGCCACATGCATGCATCTGCTGGTCTGTCGACTGTTGCCCCCCACCAGGTTCAGTGTCACTTGAAGACTGAAGCTGCTACTCAGTCTTGCCTCTTCTTTGCTGTGTGACCACGTTGTGCATTCAGTGGGGGCTCAGTCACATTTACTAGTAGCAAGGGAAGGAAGAGGCAGGCCAGCGCAGAACTCACTGGCTCCTCTGCTGTGACACCAATGAGGGTGACAGGGAAGGGACAAGAGCTCGGAGCAAGGCAGGGTGTAAGGGGCAGGAGAAGGGAAGACACAGAGGGAAGGGGCCCGTAAGTGCAAAGGCCCAGAGCAGAAGGCTATTCCTGGGCACTCTGGAGTGACAGAGACTAGCAATGCCAAGATTGGGTTGTGGAGAGTAGACATGCCTCTGATCTACAGCAGGGAGGGTCACTGGATGCTAAGTTCTCCCTTGTCCTCTACGGCTCCGATGCCATTGTGTCCTCCCCTGATGACCACATTATATCAAAACAGAGGGTCCTAAATGATGTTGCACACTTCATTCCTTCTGGGCAAATCAGAAAGACATTGGAGAAAGGGGGGATTATAAAGCAGGAGGTCACCAAAGGTAAATTGCCTACTACAGGATTCTAGCCCCACCTTCTGGAAAGTTAGTAAAAGATCAGCGGGGGGCAGAGGTTGGATTACAGGAGGCTAGGAGCAGGGAGAAATTGAAGGTTTTGGTAACACACTTGCAATCCCAGAGTTGAGGAGGCAGACATATCCCTGGGGCACCCAGGCCAGCCCACCTAGGCTCGCTGTCCAGGTCTAAGCTAACAGGAGACACTGTCAAAATAAAAACAAACCAAAACACGTGTGGTAGTACACATCTATAATCCCAGCCCTATAAAGGTAGGGCTAGAAGGATCAGAAGTTCAAGGCCATCATCAGCTACACAGCAAGCTTGATTCCAGTCTGGGCTACATGAGACGGTCTCACAAAGGAAAGGATGTATGGCCTCATCAAAAGATGATGAATGACAGATTCCCTTGGTTATCTTCAGACATTGAAATACATGTGTATACAGGTGAATGTGCACTGGTACATACGCTAACACATACAAGAGAAAATATGAAGAAATCAGTTTAAAATTAAAAAAAGAGGACTGGCCAAAATTAAGTAGTAGAACTAAAGTCATCTCGTCCTTCCGCTCACTCTGGATCCAGCCAGAACTCCTTGTCTTGCCCACTGGTGTAAAGACCCTGAACTCACAAGGTCATGCAAGTCCCAGGCTTTGCCCACCAAAATCAGAGAGGTAAGACGGGGCAAGTGAGGAAAGTCCACATGGTGGGCCATTTCATAAGGAGCCAAACAAGCATGAAAGACCACAGTTGGAGGCTGGGACCATGCAGAGGAAAGCCAAGACCAGCCTTGATGCCAGGGAATGCAGGGAAAGAGGCGCTGTGGCTCCCCCTGCTCGTCAGGGGACGCAGCAGGTCCAGCATGCATCTTTCACTGATCTATAGTCAAGAGATGTTTGTTTCTGTACGGACTAAACACCACAGTGCTAAAGGACCAATGAGCGGGAAGTGAGTAAGGTCCAGGACAAAGCCCTTTTGGAGCCTTAACCAACTTTGACCGGAAGCACAGTTATGAAATGTGGTAAGAAGCACAGTTGGAAATCTTGACTGTCAGGAGAATCCGCAAGGAAACCCGGGCCTCTCCTGAACAAATAGGTTGTGTTCCCGACACTTGTGAACGGGATATGTGACACAAGAAAACACATTTTCCAGACAGAAAGTTTCCATGATGCTTGGGTTCTGCGGCCCAGTTCCTCCGATGAGCACCTGCACATCCCTTTGCCTAATTCGTACCCTGCACGTCATTTTTATGTCAAATTCACCCATGTCTCTACCCTCCCCATCTATTCTTGACTACACCCTGGATCACTGAAAGAGACCCAGCAACATGGACTCCTAAGACCCTCCCTGGGCCTCTGTTTCCAGAATTCTCCTAAAGGATTCAGATTGTGGGAACTAAAGGCAATTAATTGCCTATGGCAGACAATAAGGATCTCTCAGAGTCTTTCCAGTCCACTCACAGCCCCAAGACATAAGCCAGGCCTCTGGACCTCATCCCAGCCTGCGTAAGTCAGGAGTGCAGCTAAGACCCAGAGGGACCCTTGACTGAGACTGCATGATCAGATAGACTTGCTGCATCAGTGACTGGGGCAAGACAGCTCCTCTCTAGACAAATGCCACAGATAGGGGCTTCCAACTACAAGAGAGGAAAGAATTTGGGCAGCTCACAGACACGCTGTCGCGAGTACAGATACAGTGTCTCACTGGTGGCTTATGGGTACGTTAGGAGGGAAGACCTTGACCGTGCCTTCCTCCAAGTAGGAAAGGGGGCGCCATCTCCCTGACTGACTACTTGAGATGCACTAACAGGGGTACTTCCTGTAGCCTTGATGGTCAAGAGACCCTGATTGAGTACCTCACTGAGAGGCCAGAGAAGACAAGGCAGGGAAGAACTCTCTCCACCCTCACTCACAGCCTAGCCTCAGTCCAGCCATTCTGTAGTGGTCACTACTTCGGATGTGTTGGGTCCAGACTGTGACATCAGGGTTCACATTAAAGTGGTGCATATCCAATACTCCATGTGCTCCTTGAAGACCAGCGTTGTTCCAAACGTTTCCTATTTAGTTTCAGGTTTGTGTCTCTCAACAACCTAGGGAATTCATGCTGCTATCATCTGTTCCATTAACAAAACAGGGATCTCAAACAACATGGCAGAGCTGCTACAGCGAGTCCGTAGTGACTTCATTACCAGCAAAACAGCATGGACTTTGAAGGTCTACACTAAATTTCCAAATATGGACTGCTAAAGGTGAATTTTTGGAATCACAAAGGCACTTTTGTTTTCAGTTCTCTGCCTCACCAGGACATGAGCACTTGGCAGCTCTTGAGGATTAAGCCTTGGGCTACTGTGACTTTTGGTGCCTCTGGCTTATGAATGTTCCTCCAATGAGATAACACCAAAAATTGGGACAGTATGGGAATTATCTAGATAAGAAAGACAATAAGAGTTTTTTTCAGGTGAGGGAAGAAGTAGGCAAAAGCTCACACCGAGGCCTGGACAGCATCGGGAACCGTGAGTGGGGACCCAGACACTCCAGCTCTGGCTTCAGCTGACAGTAAGTTCAGTCACTAGGAAAAGTTGACAGACAAGGTGACTGAGGTGCTAGCTTGGAAAGGGATTGCCTGACTCCTTTCCCCTCCTCTGCTGAGTTCCAGAGACATGGAGTTGATGCAAAGGAGCTTGGCACTGGGCTGGACAACTGCCATTTTGGTGTTACAGATGGCCATGGCAGAGTGTCCCAGGTGGACTCTGAATGGCAAGTACCAGGTATTTGCAGACCTGAGCATCCAGGAGATAAAATCTGTGCAGGACTTCCTGATGAACAAGACAGAACTGGAGCTGCAGCCTTCTAAGACATTGACTCTGGCCAGGAACTCCCTGTTCCTCATTGAGATGCTGCTGCCCAAAAAGAGGAGTATGCTGGATTTTCTGGATAAAGGGACAAGACCTCCTGTGCGGGAAGCCCATGTCGTCATCTTCTTCGGTGCTCAGCAGCATCCCAATGTCACCAAGCTTGTTGTGGGGCCCCTGCCTCAGCCCATCTACATGTGAAAACTGTCCCACAGGCCAGAGACTCATCGGTCCTGGGCATCCAGACCCATATCCAGAGCAGAGTACAGCCTCCTGCACCACACCCTGAAGGAGGCCACAAAGCCCTCCAACAATTTTTGCATGACATCACAGGCTTCTCACTACAGGACTGTAAGGGTCAATGCCTGACCTTCACCGATGTGGCCCACCATGGCGTGGCATCTAGAGGCCGTCGTACGTTTTTTGCCTTGCAGCGTATTACAGAAGGCCACTTCCTGTGCCCCACTGGGTTGGAGATCCTCGTGAATCATGTGAGTATAAATCCCCAACACTGGAGTGTGGAGCAAGTCTGGTATAACGGCAAGTTCTGCCGCAGCACGAAGGAACTGGCCCAGAAATATGCAGATAGAGACGTGGATGTGGTGGCCCTAGAGGACCCACTGCCCAAGAGCACAGATCAGCTGAAATTCCATGGAGAATTCCCCCGCCCATCACTCAGGCTGATCCTCATCTGGTCCAGCCCAGTACAACCCGACACAGCATAATGGAAAACACTGTGCTATATGGAGGCTGGAGCTTTGCTTTCCAGCTGAGATCCTCTTCTGGGCTGCAGATCTTTAATGTGCACTCTGGGAATGAACTTATCGCATACAAGATCAGTGTACAGGAGGTCGTGTTGCTGAATGAAGGACACACACCTGCAGGCATGCAGACCAAGTACACGAATGTGTGCTGGAGCAGTGTCCCTCATGAGTTGGCACCTGGCATTGACTGTCCAGACACAGCCACCTTCTTGGATGTCATCCACTACTATGACAGTGATGGTCCCGTACATTGTCCAAGAGCACTCTGCATCTTTGAGATGCCCACAGGGATGCCTGTTCAGTCCAATTTTAACAACTTTACAGGTGGCTTCAACCCCTATGAAGAGTTAAGGGGATACATGCTGGTGCTTCGAACAGTCTCAACAATTCACAACATTGATTACATCTGGGAATTTATTTTCTATTCTAATGGCATGATGAAGGCCAAGATGTATGCCCCAGGGTATGTCCATACCACCTTCTATACACCCGAGGGCCTATGCCACATCATTCACCAGCTCACCTACTACCCTGGCAACATCCGCACCCACCTGGTGCATTACCGCATTGACCTAGATGTGGCAGGTAAGACTTGAGACCAGACCATCCCAGTCACTCAACTGCTTCTCACCAATAACTTCTCTGGAAACAGAGCTAAGACTCCCTAGCATAAAATCAGGAGTATTCATACAGCCTTTTTCGTCAAAAAAAAATTATTCCTATCTGAAAAATCACAGCAGTGAATGGCACCCTAGGGTTACCCTGAATTTGAGTTATGATCTGCCCATGTTAGGATTAAGTAGAATGGTGCACAGGGTGGGGAAGGAGGACACACCATGGAGGGTAAAACACCACTGCCTAGCACTTTGAGATGGACTACAGTGCCACATAGGGGTGCTCAGTGTGTTCCATAGAAAAATAATGTCACCACAGAAGAACAGAAAGGCTGTCAGGGTGGCCATCAGATCCAGTAACAGAATAAGGCCACCAGCACTAGATGGGTGGCTTACAACCACCCAGCCCCACTTGATCCGTGGCCCAGAGTACACCAACAGTCCCCAAGCCTGTAGAAACATAGGCTTTCCCTTCTCCAAGTTTAAAACCACAGCAAACAGGGAGTATCAGTGTTCCAGAGAGACCAGCCTAAGGTCACACTGAAACTGCCACCACTGTCATGACACACACATGAGCTGGTTCGGGTTTGTTCAAGCCCTCTGTGGATGTTGATAACACAGTCTTCTCCAGCACCTCTGTCTCTATGCCTGACAGTGCAGGTGGTCTGTGTTAGAGACACCAGAGGAGAGGGAGGAGGTTTCCAGTCCAGAGCTCCATTCTCACCCTCCTCCCCTCACGCCTCCAGGTACCAAGAACAGCTTCCATACACTGCAAACCAGGTGGGGCAACATCACCAACCATGGGACCACAAGACACTATCCCACAGTGGAGCAGACTCAGTACTCCTGGGAGCGCCAGGCCGCCTTCCACTTTGGACAGGCTCTGCCCAAGTTCCTGCTCTTTAGCAGCCCCAGAAAGGACATCTGGGGCCACAGGCACAGCTACCGCCTGCAGATCAACTCCAAAGATAAGCTGGCGCTGCAACCAGGATGGCAGGAGGAGTGGGGTGCCCCCTGGACCAGGTGAGGAAACTTGGGGAGTCTGAGGAGAAGGCTCGTGGGTCCCCCCAGTGACCTCCTGTGACTATCTGTGCTTCAGTCCTCAAGGCTCTGAGTCTGTATATGCATCTGAGTGTGCACCCTCAGGGAGGGAGTTGAGGTGCCCGTGGGGCTCCTGGCCCCCAAATAACGATGGGTCGTTGGTAGACTCCCAGCAGATAATTGTAATTCTGGGAATGCAGTGAATTCCTCATCTTTGCCCCTGAGGAGGGGCTTAGAGTCAATCCCTGTGTCCAGAGCCCTCTGTCTTCTTCATGGTCTGCAGATACCCCCTGGCAGTGACCAAGTACCAGGAGACTGAGAATTACAGCGGCAGCTCTTACAACCACAACAACTTCAAGGACTTTGTTCGGAGCAATGAGAGCATTGAAGATGAGGTACAAGCCCAACTCCCAGCCCACATCTGGCTTTGTCACTAGCCTCTACCTGGATGTTTTTCTGGTCTCAGTTATGTGTGTTGCTTGTGGGAGGCAAGTTCAAGTTCGTAACAGATGAACATACCTCTTTTAAATGGGCCTGAGGTCATCTCAGGAAGCTTGTAGAAACATCTTCAAAATGCCTCAAGTCACAGTGCCCTCGGGTGACTCCGTACTCAGCACTGCTGTGAGCACTGAAGCCTGTTTCTCTCCCATAGGATTTGGTGGCCTGGGTGACAGTGCCCTTCCTACAGATCCTGATGATGCGCTCAGCATGGACACACCTGAGAACTTCGTGGGTTTCCTGATCTGGCCCTTCAACTCCTTCCACGGCTTCCAGAGATAACCAGGTACAACAGCCACAGCTATATCAGGCAATGGACCCCGAGGGACACGGCCTGCCTGATGCCTCCTCCTCTCACCTACAGTCCTGTGTGAAGACTCCAGCCTGAACTCCTGCCTGATAACCTCAGAACCCCACAAGGGCCAACAATAAACCTTTCAGCTTTCCCCACTGCCTGCTGCTTCGTAGAGGCAGGAAGGGAGCAGGGGGCATGGGCCACGTACACAGACATGTGGCCTTGGACTCCACTTATGTTTGTCTTCACCCCAAAATGATCTCCAGGTTCAGGGCAAAGGAACACCACTGAGATGCTGGATTTCTCTATTAGATGGATTTTTTTAAATATCTGAGGCTTTTAGCTCCTCACAGGGTCTATATGGGAATTGCCCCACTTGAAAGATGGACGTGTGTAAGGAAGCTGCTAGAAAAATCCAAAAATTACCAATACCTTCCCCTTGTGGCCACTGTTCTAGCATCAAAGGTTTGCTCTCAAGAGCGCTCCATTTACACTGGAAAAACATATGTGTATCCAGTTCATTGAACTCTGTAATGTCTGTAGACAATGGACTTTGCATCTGTAGGACAGTAAACTAAGGCACCATCATACTGTGGTTTAGCTTAACCGAAAAAAAAAAACATAGGAGTTGGAATTGCAGGGAAAACCCTGCAGAATATATTATGTAGGAGAGAAATGAGCGGAGAGTAACATTCAGAGTATGCAATGCTTCAGGAAAAGAACAGGAGACTAGTGATCCATCTTTGCAGAAATGGAAGGAGAAAGGCGTCTAGGTGCCCTGGAAAAGCCGAACAGGTCAAGGAAACAGACTTCTTCCTCATGGCTCCATTAGGAACACACCTCAGAAGAGCTCCAGAGCTGAGGCTGAGTCAGTAAAGTCCTTGCTGCAGAAGCATGAGGACCTAAAGCCAGGTCCTCAACATGCACATAAAATTGGGCACAGAGACACATCTGAAACACCAGCACTGGGGCCAGGGTAGCAGACATGGGCAGATCCCTTGAGCACTGCAGCCAGTCCATCTAGCAGGATCAGTGAGCCCAGGTTTAGTGAAGACACTGACTCAAAAACGACATGGAGAGCAAACGAGAAACACCCAATATCCACTTCTGATCTCCACAGCAATGCACATACATGTGGGTGCCAATCCCCACATGTACACACACACAAGGACACATACCCACACATTCACCACACACACAAAACAAAGAGAGAGAAAACTTACTGAAGGACATCTGGGTAACAAATGTTTGCCCAGATAGGACTTAACATGTATGACAGAATGTATGAGGTCTGATGACGGGGGCTGGGGTAGGGGGGTGGAGGGATGGGACATGTGGGGGTATGGCTGGGGGAGAGGGGTCTAAATTTGATTAACAACTATTGTATGAAATGCACAAAAGCTCAATACAAAGTATTTAAAAAGCAATGCTATGTAACACAACTATGGAGGATTTTTGAGAATTAAATCAATTAATTGGTCATCACAATTATATATGTATATGTATTTTTATATATACATTTCTTGGTTTGGGGAGAAATTAGGACAGGAATCAAGTTGTAATAGCTATTATTATAAATACCCTGAAGATAGGGGTGGGTTTTTTTGTACCTATATTACTATGCCGAGTATTGAAACACTATTTAGATTGATAAGTGTTTAAGAAATAGGTTTAATACGTGGACTATAAACAAAGACATGATATCACTAAACAGAATAAAGAGATGCTGAGCTGAGGAGTTTAGTGAGGTATGTGGGAATCATTTGGAGCACCCTGAAGAACTAAATAGGTGGTGGGAATGTCCTACCCTGGTGCTGTGGACAGAGGAAAAGAAGAAAGTAAACAGAATGGGAAG